CGAATAATGACTGGAAAATGTTCAGGAACAACATGATCGTTTTCTTCAACTTCACTACCACAGTACATTTCTAACACATTGGACTCCGATTCATAATAATTTACTTCTGTTAATATTGAAGTGGAATCTTCATCGGAGTTCATATCGATTGTATTGTATATGATCTCGTCGTGAAATATTTCTTCATTATTAACTAAACTGAAGGTGCCCAAAATGATTGGATTTTGTCCCGAAACATTACTGCAGCCGTTTTCTTCAACTTGACAATATTCATCTTGTGAATTGCTTAAAACTGAACTAAAAGCGGTTGTATTAACGTTATTTTGATGATCCCAACATCTAATTTTTTAATCATAGTTAAATTTATGTTTTATAAATAAAAGTGCAAGTTTTGTTTTGCAGTGTATTAAAAATAATTGAAATGAAATTAATATCGAAAAATTAAAATATTAAAATTAAATATAATACTTAAAAGAAACTGACTGCAAATAAAAAGTAGAATTTTAAACATTTAACTTCTTTTTGGAAAATTAAATAGTTTAATAAATTGATATAATTACGGTTTTTTTTCAGCTCTTTGATATTCATTGTTATCATCGCTAATTGTTCTTTTAGAACTAGAATGGCTAGCACTTGATTCAATTATATAATTTTCAGTTGCTAACTTCTTCGGCGGTGAATTTAAAGCTGTGGTTTCATCATCATCGTTTATTTTTCTTTTGCCGTTGGAATGGTCAGTGTTCGGATCAACTGAATTATGTCCACTAGAAATATTCTTTGCCTGTGAGTTCGACGCTAATGATTCATCCTCGTTACATTTTCCGTTTTTCATGCTTGGCATTATGGAGAAAACGTAATGATCTCTTAAGTAATCTCAAAACTTTGTACAATTTACGATAATTTAGATAACTATACCAGAAATGTACGTACGTAATACAAATTCTCTTACAGACAACTGAACGAAAAAATTGAATTTATTTTTCTATTTAGATTATACTTTACTGTTGTCAAAGTAATAAAAATATTAATCAATATTTTAGCCAGTATTTATTTATATAAATTCTTAAAATAATTAAATGAACAATTTTCATACTCCAACGAATGTATTTTTTCATTTGAATTTAATAAAATATTATTCAATGAAAGCTTTAAAGTAATTAAGAGTTGCATTTGATAATTATTAGTTTTTTTATTAAAAAAAAACAATTATCACGTGGGTTGGGTTGTTAACAAATCTTATTATACTATTGTTTGCAACAATGAGAACAATAGAAACCCGTTTCCTGACTTACTGAACACCCTGTATAATAGAACAAGGAAAAAAACGCTTTTCTGGAAAAATTACTTAGCGTGCTCGGATTTTCAAAAAAATTTTTTCAACGAAAGTACTCGGTCACCAGACTCCAGGAAAATTATTGGCAAAGGTCGGAAAATTTTTGCCGCTTGCCAGCGAGCGTTTTAAAACTTCGATCGTTTTCGAGAAAAACACTCGCTGACGCCAGCGTTTTACGACTTATGGTTTGAAATTTTCATCAGATCCGCCTAATAACATTTCCTGAGATATGATAAAAAAATCAATTCAATTCGTTCATTTTTCACCATTTTACGAGCTTTTTTTTTTTTTAAGTCCACGCGCATGGTTTTAATATGCGCATTGATTCATTTCTGCTCATACGTTTATTATGAACCTTAATTATGTGATGTAATATGTATTTTTATTAGGATACTATTTGCTCATAGCACTATATTTTATCGAGGAATATTATATGTTATATATAAATATCAAGACGATTATAATTATATAAGTTTGTACTTTCATTATCAGAACAATACATTATTAATAATCTTTTTTTTCTCATATATGATGTATGAGTCTATGAGTTTATCATTTAAATTGAAATTCATCTATGACAACTATGCTGGCCAACGTTAAATCGCAGTTACCAATATTTTTATCAAAATTAAATTTTTTACATAGTCCCACGTATAATAACCTGCTGATTTTTTTTTAAATTTTTCTACAATATAAACACAATTCGTATAATTAGAATATTAATAATTTTTGTGTATAACAGGGGTATATATAAGGGAGATATGGGCCCCCCTTGAACCAGCGCTATCAATATTTTTTTAGGCAACTTCTAATAAATAAGTACCTAATGTCCTTTTAGCTTCGATGCGAAGCTGAGAAGGTATTGGTTTTACTAAGATATGTTTATTTTATTTTTTTTTTTTTTTTTTGTGTCTGTTACCACTTTTTTCAGCTCTCACCGAACCAATTTCTTTCAGTGATACGTCAAAAGATCACAAATTGTATCTAGTCGAAGACATTACCCTCAAAAATTGAAAAAAAATGCCCTCGTTCCCCGTAAATGAGGGAAACCTCCAAAAAAATTACAAATTTAAAAATCGCTAATTTTCGAAATTTTTTCAATTTTTTTTACTTAAAAGTGCCATAACTTTTTCAAAAATGAACATATCAATATAATTTTTTTTTATATAGATGTGTAATATCATAACCTTTCGTTTGGTATATTTTTTTCATAAATTTAACCCTTAACCTGTCCACAAGGGGGGATTTAAAATGACAACTTTTTCAAAAAAAATTAACTTTTTCAACTTAACTTTTGAAAATGTTCCGGAAGGTCTGACACTTTTATATATATCTTAAATTAAAGCTAATATAATATTCTTTATTATGCAAAAAAAAAATTTCGGACTTTATTTTATCTTCACGGTGAAAATGGCTACCAAATGCTTTTTTTGTGTGAAAATTTTCGATTTTGTATATTACATTTTTAACTTTATTATGCTATAACTTTTTGAAAAATGTATGGATCAGTACAATTTTTTCATGAGAAGTAGTATTTATATAGATCTTTCATTCGACATACTGTTTTTTTAAATCCGACCATTTCCCTATGTACGAGGGGGGTTCAAATCTAAAAAATGCATGTAGAAAGTAGAACTTTTTCAACTTAAATTTTGAAAGTGTTCCGGAAAGTCTGACACTTTTATATATATCTTAAATTAAAGCTAATGTAATATTCTTTATTATGCAAAAAAAAAAAATTTCGGACTTTATTTTATCTTCACGGTGAAAATGGCTACCGAATGCTTTTTTTGTGTCAACCTTATACCCAATACATTTTACTATATTCTCTTTTTGAATTTTCCTGATTATAATAATAATATTTTTAATATATTTTTGTTACACTGATTCTGATGTAATATTTTTTCTGCAATACACTTATCGTGCCCGACGTAGCCGAGTACTCCTACCGGAATCAGTGGCCTACTTATGATGACGGCCCGAAGTGGGCCTTTGGCGCGTAAGGCTCGTAGGGTTCCGGGTCTGGGGCGGAGCCACAGCTAGGCGGAACCTAGTCATTTATTAATTTTAAAAATACTTTTTACTTATTATGTCATTTTTTTCTCAAAAACAAAAATTTTAATGCAGAATTTTAAACTATTATTGTGTCACTTATACATTTACATAAAATTAAAAAAATCTAAATTTTTTTAAAAAATTTAAAAAAATCTTATTTGTAAGTAACTGTTTCTTTTCTTTTTTTCTATTGTCTTCGCATTCATTTAACTTTTTAACATTTTGAATAGTCGGAAGTGATTATTAAAAAACAGTAGAACAGTGGGGTCAACGCACAGTGTGGACATGGTATAGATGGGACAAGTATGGATGATATCTGACAGTGATTAAAATTAATATCATAAGAAACGCTTTGATGCAAATCTGTAGATAGTGTTTAATTTTAAGAAATTGGTGGATTGTACCATGACAAAATGAACTCCTATTTCCTTAATTATATCACGATTAGTGGTCCTTTGATTTAAAAGTATAATATATGATTAAATATTAATTATAGTAATTAAATTTATTATGAAATTGATATTCAATCATTTAATATTATAATTTATACGGAGAAATTGTAAAAATAATAAAGTAGTTATATATTTCTTTACTTATAACGTGTATAAAAATTTAAAGGTCTTGATGCAATACTTTTCAATTAAACTGTTTGTTATTTATGAATAAATACATTGGATTACAAGGAACTTACATCAGAATCAAAATTATACTTTTCTTTTTCAACTTTTTGCGATGTTTTCAAATCTGCAATTTGACTTTTTCTATTACTTTTAATTTTGATATTATTTTGATTGACGAGGTTGTCGTTTTTAGCTTTTCTCGCTGGTCAGCTCCAATCCCTCCAATTAGTGAAATACTAAAGGAATAGAGTTTAGACCCGTCAGTACGATCTAGTTCAAAAGTAGCAGACTGAGGGTGGCTCCTTGTCAGCCACCAGCACAACTACCTTTTTACTATATCTACTAAAGGACGGTTAAGCCCAAAAACTAGCCAGCACGTACACTAATTGTTATGATTGACTAAAGGACCAGTAGTCCAACCTCGACTCTTGACGCACACACACAAATTTTAATAACACGACGGTTGTAAAGTATTTACTGTCTAATACAGGTTTTTAATTAATTATTTTATTTATATTACGTAAAAAACACAAAGTCAAAAAATATAACACAAAATTAATTAAGTCGTACAGAAACAAAGTTATTCGCACACCTAAGACCTAACCCGTCACTCGACGTTCCTTCGACAAAACGTCCAGTTCCGTCAAATCTCCCCCCGTCCTTTTTATGTTTACCTTTTATATTCTTTTTCCCACCATTATTAATTTGCTTACTACTGTCTTAAACCCCGTACCATACTAAAATCGAAGTTATTCAGCTATTTACTACAACATATAAATCTAATTAAAGTAATTTAAACCCAAATGCTTTAAGCATTATTTAATATCTTAAAAAGATGTATAATAATTTGAAAATTTTTAAGTTTAAAACTTACTTTTAGTAAGATAATATTATTAATAATAACGAATAAATTTATATTGTAATCATCTATATCAATAGCGTGATCTATGGTGACTTTATGTCTCTTATCATAAGCCGCATTATTATCATAGAAAAGATAAATGATTTCGCGGGAAAAATATAACTCAATATGAATGAACATTATTTGTTGACAATATTCTCATATTCTACCACAGAATTATTGAAACAACAATATTTGAGCAATCTTATTCTTTGTTTGTTTTCGTTTTATTGACATAGAGTAACAAACGAAGAAATTAAGTCTTTTGGTTACTGTTTGGTCACTTAATTTTTATTTTAAATGAATTGACATACAAAATACTTTACTTTTTTAATTACCTAGTGAGTATAATGGAAGATATGGAACCAGGGCCTAGTACTGGAGAGGTAGTTACAAAAAAAAGAAAAATTGATCAAATGAATGATGGCTCTATTGTAAGAGTAGAGTTAAAAAACTTTATGTTAGTATGAAATACTTTTATCATAAAAGCTTCAAGTTTTATTGTGTTGTGAGATATAATATTACTCTTTTTATTTAAAATTAAGAAAAAGTATCATGAAATATACCTGTGTCATAATTTCTAATAGGACCTTTAATGAAGCCGTTTATACTGCACATCCTAAACTTAATTTAATAATAGGACCAAATGGATCAGGAAAATCTTCTATTGTTACAGCATTGATATTGGGGTTCGGTGGAAGCCCAAAGGACATTAATAGAGGAGACAAAGTAATTAAATTAAAATTTTTCATTTATCTTTATAATTAATAAAAAATTGTGTATGATAGTATTAATTTACATAGATTTAAAAAATTAAGCTTATATTTCAAATTTGTAAACTGTTTAATAAACATTAGTCATGTATATATTTTATTTTAAGTATCTCAGTCAGAATCGTATTACCACTTAAGTTGTATAGGCTTCTAAAATAAAAAATATTAAAGAGTGTTAACAAAGTAGTTAAAGGATGTAAGGATGGGAAGTATAAAACCTATATCCTACTTATATCATATTATAAATTACAATTTATATGCTTCTATACAAATGATAAAATTATTGCTAAGTGGTCCTTGATACCTTGTATCTAAATCTTTGACCAAAATAAAGTTTTTTTCAATAAATTAATATGAAAAATATTTTGTGTTTAATTTTTTTAATTAGTGTTATATTTATATAATCAATAATTCTCAACTTAAACTGAAGTTATACAAACTATATGACATAAAAACTTGTAGTAATTTCAGGTTTTTTTTAGTTTTCTTTAAAAATAGTGATAATTTAGATAGTTGGTATTAAGACTTATAGCCTGCGTATATAAAAAACTTCTATCTCAATACTTTGATTTCAATGTATAGGATATTTTTATAATCCTATTAATCTATGTAAATAGTGAATACATAACTTTTTATTTACCTTAAAAATTAAAAGGAGTTTTTTTAATTTAGGTTGCTCAATTTGTAAAACATGGAAAAGGAACAGCAGACATAATAATAGAATTATATAAAAAAAGTAATCAAAATGTATTATTAAAAAGAAAAATTTATGGAAATGAATCTCCTTGTCATTATTATATAAATAACACAATGGTCATAAAAAAAAAAGTAAATATTTGTTATTTATGTAGTTTAAACATACTATTTCAATATTTTTATTTGTAGTTTATAGAAATAGTCGAAAGTTTTAATATTAGAGTACACAACTTATGTCAATTTTTACCTCAAGATAGACTGGAAGATTTTTCAAAATTAGATTCTAAGGGACTCCTAATTAATGCTTTACAAAGCATTGGTAAGACATTAAAGCATATTTTAAAAATTAAAGGGCTCAGTGAAACAACTAGGAAGTGTCCTCTTAAATATTTTTATGGTTAAGCACTTTATTGATTTTTTTTTTATTTATAGTGATGGTAAAAGGTTTTATTTATATTTAATATCTCTGCAAATTGTTTGTATATAAAATCTGTTTTGTACCAAAATCTGCAAAAATATTATATTAGTCAGAAACTAACAAAAATTATTTTCTGATAAATTTGGACTTGCTTGTTTGATGCACTGTGCCACTCCAATTATTTTTAAAGTTGTTATTTATTAAAAATATAATTAATGTTATTTATTTATTTAAAAAAAATAGTATTGTTTATTTTATGATATTTGTGTAGAAAATCATGAATTATTGGAAAATTTGAACCAACTGAAGGAACTATCTTCTAATATGACAACTAATGAAAGCAAACAAAAAAATTTGGAGACTGCATTAAGAAAAGAAACTGCTGCTAATTTAAAGTAAGCATTACTTCTTTTGTTATATTTATATTTAAACAAAAATGTCTATCACTTGGTAAAATTTGATTTTCTTAAAAAAAAAATTATGTATCAACAATTAAAATTTCATTAAAATTTTGGTTTTTTAATAGTATATGCATTTTTAGTTAATATCATTTTTTAAATTATTTTTATTTAATAATAAAATATATTTTTTGTAATTTAAAATTTTCAACATTTTAAAATAGCCATTTCTTGAGCACTTTTATTATAAAAAATTTTGTTGGGTCAATAACAACTATGTTGAGTAATTATTAAGTTATAAGCATTTTAATACACTGAGTGGGTATATAGCATGGGTGCAGCTCGTACTGATATGTTTATTTATATATAGAATAGTACACCCACATTCCATATCTATACTATGTATTAAAATGCTGGTACTCGGTAATTCATTATCTTTATTCTTGATGTGTTATTAACTCATAAAAATATTTTGTAATAATAATACTTGAAAATTAATTTTTTTTTAAGTAAAAAATTTAGTTTTATTTTTTTATTGTTAAATATAAAAATAAAAAAATATTATTTTAGTATAGTCTAAGAATATAACAATTATTAAAAAAACAAAATTAAAAAGAAATTTTGATTCTGTCAAAAGTTATTGAAGTATTAAATTAAATCTGTTCCATTTTGTGTATATAAATTAAATTTATTATTATTATTATATTTCTTTATATACATTTTAATAATTAAATATATTTGAAATAAGTTAAACTTGTAATTATTATTATTTTTATTAAAATTGATAAATATCTAAGAATGTATTAATTTAATAATATTAAATATTTAAAAATTTTAATTTTTGTGTGTATATAATCATAATTATATATTATAAATGTATACTACTTTCCTTGTTTAACAAATGTCAAAAAAACAAAAATCATAATTGATTAATGTGACATTCATTTTGGGTTTTAGCTATATATAGCTATATGATTTTCTTATTCTGTTAAAAAGTAATATTTACCAAATATTTATATTTTATATGCAAATAGCTTAAAAAAAATAGTATGGTTTTCGACTAAAACATTCACTTTTACAATTTTAGTTTTAATAATATAAGTTTAGGAAAAATAATAAATCAATTTTTTTTCTTATTATAAATTGTTAAATACTAACATATAATTAACTTAATAATTAATTTTAATTATCAATTAAATATATTAAAAATAAAATTAATGCCTAATAAATTAATAATACTTATTGTATAATTTGTTGAAATTTGAGCAACTGTAGGATTTAGTTTAGTAATAATCAGAATAAAATTAAATTGCTTATTAAAAAAAAAAAAAATTATAAATCATTTTTTTTTTATCAATTTAGATTGGAAACAATAGTAAGTTCATTTAAAGAAAAGAAAACTATTGAATCAGAATTAATAATTATTATACAAAAAAGATGTTGGACTCTGTATACCTTGTCTTATGAGCAAATTAGAGCAGTAAGTATAAATAAATAGCAATCTCTTAATAATTGTACTTCAATAAACCATATATTGTAATAATATATTTTGGAACATACTTATTACTAATAAATTAATTGTTAAACTATAGATTTTTCTGAATAAAAATATATTACCATTTTTAATTTAAAATTTATTTTAAATAGAAAAATTAAGTTTCTGAATTTTAAAATAAAAAATATCATATATTGTCTCATATTTAATCATTTTTTTTAAATAGATTTTTATCTTTTAGTTGTGCAGAGTACAGAGTTTTTGTTTGGTTGAGTATTATACATGGAAAAATTTATACATAATAAAATTGTTCTGGTACTATTTCTCAAACTATATATTTTTATCTTTACAACAGAACTATACTACACAAATATTAAATATTTTTTTATTTTCAAAGAGCCTACTTTGAAATTTGATATATATTTTCAATGATTTTCGGAATAAATGTTTTATTTTTTTTAATATAATAAAAATTTATTCGGTTTTTACATAACTATATAAAGGAATTTTCTATTCTCCTTAGTAATTTGTTTCAGTGGTTTTGTTTTAAAGGTGATAATATTTAAAGAAAAAAAACTTGTTTACTTTATGAATATTCATTTGTTAAAAGGGACTTTTCCTAATTTATTAGGAGATATAAAAATCTATTTTTCATGATTAATTTATGAATATTATGTGTATTTTAAAATATTTAACACACATAAATATAATTTTAAAAATGAATTTCTTACATAAAATTAATTGTAGAACTTAAAACATGTTGTGTAAAAACATTTTATAAGTCGCTTTTAACAAATGACTATTCATATGTGTTATACATCTATAAACATCTAAACAATAAACATAAGTATTTGTAACTACATACTAATTCTTCAATTACAGGAAAAAAAAAAGCTGCCTCTTGCTAAAGAAATAAACAATAAAGCTATAAAACTTATTCAACGACATAGAGATATTATAAAAAAAAAACTATCTGGGGAAAAAGATTTAAGAAATGTTGTTCTGCAAAATGTAAAACTTATTAATACCAAAATGTATATATATATTAATATATCAATTTTTTTCAGGCAAATATTGTATATAAAATATTGGAAAATGTGAATAGTAAAGTTGGAGTAGCTGAATGTTGTGTATCTGATATGAATGATTTGAATAAAAATTGTAAAAACACTGCAATGAAAATAAAAGATTATAAGGATACAGTGAGTTCTATGAAACAAAAGCTGGAAGAAGTTAAAAATGAAACTCTTGATGTAGAAGGTAAATTAAATAAGTATAGTTCTAAATAAATAGATTGTTTTAATTTACTTTATTAATTTTTTAGGTGTAATGCTTATTGATACCTTAATGTTTACTTTTTTACGAAATTACTTTTTGGTACTGAATTATTGTCATTCCTTTGTGATTAATTTTGTTAATAAGTTTTTTTTATAAATAACATTTTTTTTCCCAAATTAGGAAATTTCATATTTTATTCAAAATATAGTGTATTTGAATATTACAAATAATTTTACATACTTCAAAAAAAAAAAAAAAAAAAAAAAAAA